ATGCACTTACCCATGTTGACATGCCGACAACGAATCGATCTATCCAATCCTTTGGGCGTCCCCCACCAATCTTTGCCTGACAGGTAATCCTGGCTCAACCTGCAACTCTGGAGTTGGGACAGAAATATTTCATCTTCCTCTTCCCACTCGCTTTGCTTCTCTTCTTCTTCTGGAGGTTTCGAATTAGAAGCCTCGACTTCATCATCTGAGCCCGCTGCTTCATAGTCATCAGAGAACGGTTTTCCTTTTTTTATTATTGTTGTTGTAGCATGCCTATGGACGATAATACTGTATGTTGGTCTGCAGTTGGAAGTTCATTCTTGAATTCACTTGACTCATGGGATAATATGGCTAAGATTGCTTTGCAGTAATCTAAGTGTTGTAGCATACCGCCGGACAATAATGGATATGTCCTCATTCACATAAATGCAGTGGTAAATGCTATATGGTATGTTGGTATAGTGTAAATAAATGTTGGCATGCAGTTAGAGATTTGTCTCCAGCTCTGCTGGTCAAACTCTCTGCCTCCGGGTAGAGAGGAACCCAAAACAAGGCTATATCGAAGGGCAGAGTCTCGTACTGGGAAACAGCTACCCGAATCCGATTTATGAATTTTTGGCCGAGCATACGGTCTCGGATAACCCACATTAAATTCGGACTTATGCCACATCTGACCACGTGCGACGGTTGCTAGATCTCCTGCAGTTGAAGATTCATTGAGGAATTCACTTGAATCACTTCTAGCAATTGACTACTTCTTCTACGCGCCGCTGGCGAATCTTATAGGTGTTTTTCATGTACTGAAAGTTATCGTTCATTACCAACCTTCGTGTGATTATTCTACTCAGTAACATTTCGTAGGTTACAACATTTTGGCGACGAGCATTAGCCAAACTTACAACGGTTGCATAGGAATAAAATGTCGTTTGAGACACTGTAGTTAGAACACAGATCAACAGTGAGCAAACACGGATGATTCCATTATTAAGTAAGTAGATCACGTGTTCGTGAAGGAAACGTATAAATAGGAATTAGCGTGTTATCTAAGGGATCGCGATTCTCTATACTATCCTCTATACTTGTTATGGGACCTTACCCATAATAACATAATGGACTATTCCATATGTAATAAATACTGCGCCTCAAGAGGAAGCAGAGAGTTCAGTCTGAAGTCTGGAGTGAAGTCCGTCAGGAGTCTGTCAGTCAGTCAGAGCGAGTCAGTCAGTCGAGTCAGAGGCAGTCCGAAACAGAGTTGCGTTCAGACAATTACTACTAAACCTGATTGTTCGTACTAACACTTTTCTACCTCTCTGTAGATATTCCTGTTTGTAATATATCTGTGTTATTCCATATCCGTATTCGAGTTCTTCTTTATTGGTTCTACCTTGGACTATCACCGTGGTCCAAGGAACCGGACCATAACAACACTATTTCTCTATACTAATCATAAAAATTGCTATTCGGCGATTAATATTTGAACAAGTATTATTAGTGCGAGTATTATATGAAGGCGTTACTACTACAAAGTTTACAAACTCTAGTCTACTATGAACATTTCGGAAGTGATCGGGAGTATTCGTTGACCTAACGAAAGTTAGAACGAGTAAGCGTCTAGCATCACAACACTCATCAACTAGCGATTGGTTCATCACCTTCCTTCTTTTTTCATCATAATCCTCATCTATTTCCATCTCCTCTGGCTCCACCAGAGTTGTTGTTCTCATCATTCTCTTCTTGTGCTTATCTCCTTCCCAAGCATCCATCTCTGCTTATTTTAGATCGTTAGAATGATCTCTATTAACTCTCCCCGCCATCTGATCCCAGATTACAAACTGCATTGGCTCAGTCTGATCCACTATTCTGTAATAGGGTTCCCACCACTGTCCCAATTTTCCTTCCCTCAAAGGAACCCAAGGTCAAATCCTTCGTCACAGACACCCATTAATATAGCACACCACGCCGCCGCCTACACCTGGTTGTGTAACCACGTTTTGTGGTCCGCTCTTTAGCGCCTTAGGGTGACATTTTAAACATAAGGCTAACTCTGCGCTGGTCAATGTTGACGCTGGTCAAAGTTGATTGTTGATCGCTGGTCACTTCGATCCACATATTGTGTTCTTAATCTCAGAGCAGTGGAGGATCGAACGTCATGATAATCGTAGCACCGGTTCAAGCCGTGACGCGTGGTATATTAAGGAAAGAATATCTTCACAACGAAAAACTAAAAGGAAAGATTCATGGGGTTAATCTTCAATTGGTTTCTTCTCGGTCTCACGTTGACTGCTGACCTGAGATGGAATAAATACATCGAGTCAATAGCCTCGTCCACTGCAAGGAAAGTTGGCTCCCTGAGCCGCGCTAGGTAGTTTTTCTCCCCGGAGTCGATCCTCCAGATCTACAAATCCACAATTCGCCCTTGCATGGAGTATTGCTGCCATATATGGTCTGGTGCCACTTCTGTTTGCCTCGGGGTTCTTGATAGGCTCCAGAGGCGGATATGCAATGTGGTTGGCCCTGCCCTGGCGTCTCGTCTACAGACACTTTCTCACAGACGCGCCGTCGCCTCCCTCTGTCTGTTCTACAAATATTTTCGTGGAAATTGTTCCGAGGAGCTGCATTCGCTGGTTCCCAGACGTCATGAGTTCCAGCGCCCTACGAGGCTGGCATCCCGCTCTCACCCCTTCACTGTCGAAACTCCTAAATGTAGTCGTCTCTTCTACTCTAATAGCTTCATGTCTCGCACCTCTCGCCTGTGGAACTCCCTTCCCTATTCTAGTTTCCCTGAGAGCTATAATCTCCAGCTATTCAAGTGTAATGTCAATCGACATCTCCAGTTGCCTTGATCTATCCACTACCCTCATCCTTCTTTCTATCACTCCTATCTGATCTTGCTCTAAATTTTCTGTAACCCCTTGCGTCCTAGTGGCTTCCCGCCTTGCTTGGGGTGAAATGCTTAAAAAAAAAAATAATCATGGTACGACGAAAATATACTCTTCCAGCATCAATCTATATAGTGACATTGTGCCTCGCCTAATACTTTGGATTCAAAGTTGTTCGGAATCGGTGGCAGGTGACGGGGATTCCAGAGGCACTCGATATGTGGGTTCTCAACCCAAGTTCTCGAGCTCCCAAAGCCACCTGGGTATATGGATTGCGGCTCAAAACTAGCCTGGAGCCGAATGTTTCTTGGGATTTGTTGATTCTTTAATTTTCACATGACTTCTAATAATAGTTCTGTGTTCCCTTTTCTGTTTTCTTAACCAACTTTTCAAATTTGGAGAATCATCCACCTTCACAGAAATATATAGAGGGATTGCAGCTCCCCTAACTCCAACGTTTGTAACTTTGCATCTCGCACCACCACTCCCCACAGGCAGCGCTAAGTCCTCCCTCATTCTCATTCCTTCACTGCATTCTACCTCAGCCCATCTCAACTGTCTTTGTGAAAAATCTAATTTTCAAATCAGGTGGGCGAAAGGGTGTAGTTTATTCTAGTAATTAATTTTAATTATCTCGCCTCTTCAAAGCAGATATAAAATTTTCTCTCCGTTCCCAGACCTACCCGCGTACAGGGAAAACATAAACCAGATCATCCTATTGGCAATTACGGGATCTGATTTCATAAATTCGACCCTCACAACGAGTTCGCTCCTTGTTTTCATTTTCCAACATTTTTTCGTCACAGATAATACATTTGTTAGAAGAGATAAAATTGTTCTGCATCTGTGGGCTAATCGCTGTCTTGACGAAAACACAAACGAGATCACCTTCATGTCACGACAGTATCGATTTTCATAACTTCGTCCCTTGTTTTCATTTATCAATTCGTTCTTGTCGATGAAAATATATGTTTGCCTAAATTCTTAAAGAAGAGATAAAATTGTTTTCTAAATATGTTTTCGTCCGCATGCCAGACTCTGGATAGATAAAAAAAAAATTTAGGCTAGAAATCCAGACGGTCTTATTTTCACCAAGGAAAATATCTATCTATCTATCTATCTATCTATCTATCTATCTATCTATCTATCTATCTTTCATTTTGGGTTTAACCCTTTGGTGCTCAAAATTAATATCTAACCACCTCATAGCCTCAGTGTGAGATACGAAACAGAGCAGATATGATATTTCGAATATGCATTTCGCTTAAAGTCACTTGATGTTTCCTTCTGTATATGTAACAAATTTTGTGAAGCTCATTATGTCCGAGTCGTTTCGGCATGTATTTTTAATTTTTATATTGAAAGCGTCTGCCTAGAATCTTCGAAATTTAAGCGCATCACTCAACTGGCGCCGAGATCTCATCAATGTACAGCTGAGCTGGTGAGGTGTAGCCATAAGTTCTATGCTAATAGTTTGCTCCATGTTTTCCGGCCAACCTTAATCTGCAAACATATAAAAGCAATGTCAATTGCTGTCTACTGTCCTCCTGATTATTGTTTCCTCTATAAGTCGCTCCCTAGTAATATTCTTCTTTCTGACTCTTCCCCAACCAGCAACCCCCAGCGTCGCGGTGGCTTTACTGCCTTCCTGGATCGACTATAAAAAAATATTCTCGAATAGATGGATCCTCTTAATGCTCATATACTCCAGCCATTAAAAATTCAACTTATGCTGGTCACACCCACCTATTTCACATTCTTTTCTCTTCTAGGCTTGGTAAAGCTCATGAAACCGCCAAGGTCATAAAATTTTGTTTCTTGGTATAGCTAATGTAAAAGAGATAACTGTACACCCAAGCGCTTTCAATACGAACAAACACACGCATTGTTATTCTAAATGGATACCCGTCTTTGAAATAGAAGCCCAATTTTTATGTTAAGCAGCGTGAATTACATATATAGGTTCGTGAACTCGAGAAAAACTTAATAAAGAAAATGTTCTCTCCGGCATGGGTCGAATTTGTGTCCTCTTTAGAAGGAGATGTAATTTACAATTCTGCCTGAATTTCTGGGATGAACTTTTATCATTATTTACACTATTTAAATTCACACTATTGTCCTCATCTTACATCTGTTCAATCCCTGGATTTGTGTAATCGAACCCAGTGGAGAAGAGCAAGCAATGACAGACAAAAATTTAAAAAATTATAAACTAATCACGATATCCCGAGACATGAGCAGTGGATCGAGAACAGTGGATTGAAGTCTATTGAATAAAGGAGTTCAGCTGGGAATTCCCTGTAGTTTATCTGCATCGATATAAACCTGAAGAAGACCGGAGGGCAAAACAGCAGAAACGTTGTGAGCCTTGTCAGTTTAATCAATTTTATTTCTTCACTCCTCAAGGTCTACAAGTCGAAATAGCTATAAGAATCGGGTAATTTTGGATTTCCTATTCTATGTAATATATATATATATATATATATATATATATATATATATATATATATATATATATATTATGAAATGGACAAAGTCCGATAATTATTTTATGACATTTTTATGTTTATAGATTCTTTTTATAGATACAAATATTATAGTGATCGGGGAAGCATCCTCTGGGGTGTCTGTTACATTGGGCAGTGGTTCGCAGGAAGAAGCTGTTTGAGTGGAACCTCTCGCCGATGGAATACAGAGAGAATATTTGTGGTTTGATACTATGTAAGTAGCATGTCGGGGCCTAGCCGTGAATGTTAGACCTGGCGGAAGCAACGAATGTAGTTCGTCTGAGAACTTTTCATGGTAGTAGCGATAGAACGGCAAGAGGCTCGCCTCATCCCATCTGTGAGAGAGAGGTTTGGAGGGTGGAATATAATTCTTCTCCAAAAAAGACTCAGAGGCGCTTTTGAAATCAAAAACTGGAAAGTGAGGACTGGGCAGCTCCCACCCGAATATGGTAACAGGACTGCTTTTTTGGCGTTTACTTTATAAAGTACTTACCGGAGCCGTACAGTGAGACGATCATTTGACATCTTTAGCTATGGATCGTATATAAGAATTGGCGAGGTTGTGGATCGGTGTTGGCGGGAAACGAATATAGGGAGAGAGAGAGAGAGAGAGAGAGAGAGAGAGGAGGAGGAGGAGGAGGAGGAGGAGGAGGGATTGCGTATAGATGGCTTCAAACAATCTAAAGGAGCATTTCACTCATATGATCCGTTGGTTGTAGAGAGATCCTCTAGTAGACCGCGGCGCACACCTGCTACAGCTGAGCGAGAACAGACAATTCCCGCCATATTTGTCACATCATTATCAGATTTCCATCATGAGCTGAATAGCAAAAGCTTCTTCGTTGCCACTTCATCTCTCTATTCATTCTTCGTTTTCTATCTATCTATCTATCTATCTATCTATCTATCTATCTATCTAAGGTTGTTCATCTATCTATCTATCTAGCTAGCTAGCTAAGATTGTATATATACAATTATTATATATATTGTAGATATATGATTATATATATATATATGGATGTTCTGTCTATCTCTCTATCTATCTATCAATGGCTGTTCATCTATCTATCTATCCATATATATATATATATATATATATATATATATATATAGCTCGCTAGCTAGCTACCTACCTAAGATTGTTCATCTATCTATCTATCAATGGCTGTTTATCTATCTATCTATCTATCTATCTATCACTAGCTGTTCATCTGTCTGTCTATCTATCTAACTAGCTAGCTAAGATTATTCATCTATCTATTCATCTATCTATGGCTGTTCATCTATCTATCTATCTATCTATCTATCTATCTTTTTGGCGTGATCTGGCTTTTATAAAATTTGCTGATAACATGAAGAGTCAGGTTCTTACTCGAGCGATACAGGGAGCCGATCATTTGACTTGCATCATTAGCTATTGATCGTACATAAGAGTTCCGCTTGAGATCGGGTGTTAATTTGAGGCCCAGTATTCTCTCAAGGCACGGTGCCCCTCTCGAGACGACATCCGTTAGACACCATAGTTATACTCCACAAAACATCGTCGGATTCGAGCATCGAGATCGTCATCCTCTCTTCTTTTTTTTTCCCCTTTCTCCCCACGCTAGTAGTGGTGTGAAGAACCAGCCTACTCTTGGAGAGACGCGAAGTCAAAGAGTGCTTGACGAGGCCTTTCGCGTAAATTTTATTTTATTGGATACACACTTGGCCAGAATCGCCTCCCTTGCGGATCAACGGGCATTGGTACTGGCGAGATCTGGCAAACCTGGTTGTATCGGGCTGTCGGATGCTTGGTCTGTCAAGGTCCGCCATGGTTACGGCAGCGCGACTGGCATAGCCTTCTTCTCTCGGTTGAGATCAGGTACATCCACAAAACCAGTCACTGATATACGATATTATGCTAAACTGTTGTCGATCAATGGCATAATTTTATTTGATATAACGAATCTATGAAACACTAATGGTTATATATATACATATATATATATATATATATATATATATATATATATATATATATAGAGAGAGAGAGAGAGAGAGAGAGATAGATAGATAAATAGATCCCGTAACTAACAACATTAATGGGAATGTCTCAATCCTCATAAATACGTTGGACACTATTGTAAGTGGGGTGTAATATGCTGTCTGAGCTGTCAGCGTGGAAAGCTATTGCCGGGCCGAACTCTCTGCCCAAAGGCAGAGTTCGACACGGTAAGAGGCTATGCCGAAGGGCAGTGTCTCGTCCGAAGAGGTAGACAGATACCCGATCCCGCGTATGCGGAGTTTACGGGCAGTTTTTGCCCGAGCTCATGGGCTCGGATTTACCCACTTCATGCCGCTGGCGAGTATTTTATTTTGTTGATCTTATCAAAATTACTATTTCATTTACAATCTCCGATTTGCTTATTTCTTATTCAATAACCTTTCCTAACTTACCATAAAAAGAAAGTAAGAAAGAAGTTCAAGGAAAAGTGAATGGAATAAAGGAATAGAAAAGATTGAATGAAAGAGAGGATACAATTGAAATATATGTATACAGTGTAACCCGGATATAAGAGACCCGGATATAAGAGAAACCCGGATATAAGAGAGATTTTCTCTGGTCCCAAATTAGAGCCTGTGTTAATGTATATAAAATAGACCAAACCCGGATATAAGAGAAACCCGGATATAAGATACTTCTTCTCCAGTCCCGACAACTCTCTTATATCCGGGTTACACTGTATATATATATATATATATATATATATATATATATATATATATGTGTGTGTGTGTGTGTTTTGTGTGTGTGTGTGAAAATATATAGAAAATAGGGAAAGAACGCGTTAGGTAAATAATCCAAAGTTCTTTGGTATTTTTGTTATTATTTTAAAAAATAATGCTCGATACAAAAGTAGAGAATAAATATAATTATTTATTTAAAAATGGAATCATATTTTTAAATAAATAATTATATATATATGGAATCATATTTTAAATAAATAATATATATATATATAAATTTTATATATATATATATATATATATATATATATATATATATATATAAAAGAAGAAAAAAATTATCGAAATTAATAATTAAAAAAAAGAGAAAAAATATATAGAAATATATATTATCTGCCCAGAAGAATTTTAAATAAATCCATATATATATATATATATATATATATATATATATATATATATATATATATACCGTAACTATGAACATTAATGGATATGTTCCAATCTTCATAAATACGTTGGACACTATTGTAAGTGGGGGTAATATGCTAAGTAGTTCACCACTAGCAGTGGTTTACCCACTTCACGGCACTGGCGAGTATTGTATTTTGTTGATGTTATAAAGATTACCATTTCATTTCCAACCTCCGTTTTGGTTATTCCTCATTCAGCAACCATTTCTCGGTTACAACAGTTAATTGAACATTTATCAATTTATTGAATATTCCCGCGTAAGATTTTCTATTTCACTTTTTTTATACAAAAGATTTGCTGCGTTCTTAGGTGATTTGAGTCTCCTTCTTCTTCTTCTTCTTCTTCTTCTTATTATTATTATTATTATTATTATTATTATTATTTCATTTCATTTCTATTGTATACGAATTTCTTTACGGTCCCATCCCGGAGACCTATGGTCAGAAATGACATCATGACATTTTCCACTGAGCATTGTTTGAAATGATAAATAAATAAGATCCCACACATTTTACATAGATAAAGTCCTTCGTAATATGTGAGCTATACTTCTGAGTATATTTTTTTCTGTTTTCTTTAAATCATGGGCTACAAGGAATCCTTTTAGTAAGTCTCTTGTAACATTTTTTCAATCAATGTCAGTGATTTCAACTCCAACTGGAATTACTGATGTCCTCATGTGCCATATTTTTGAGATTTCTATTTGAAGATCCCTGTATTTTGATAGGTTTTTGAAGATCTGCAACGATACATTACAATCTGCAGGGTCTTCTGTATCAATAAAAAAGTGAATTCTGTTTCTGTGGTCTCGGATCACAATGTATGGGCGATTAGCTTTATTTGTTCTGTCTGTGTGTCTTTGTTGTTAAGTCCCATAAAATTATTGCAGGTCCTCTCTCTGTAACCGGGCCTGGGTGATGTTTATATCAGTTTCATGCAGTTCCCCTCCCGTAAACATTGCATATTTTCCAGTGCAGATATTCGCCCACTTTAACATGCCGAATTTTGTATTCTGTGGGTGATAAAACCGTGCAACCTGATACAAGATGGTCGATTGTTTCTGGATATTTATCACGGAATATGCATTTCGATTTCATGCCATTTTTCAGCATGTGTGCTTAGTACTTTTTTTGTTATTATCATATTATTATTTTTATTATTTTCCTTGATTTCTGGCGTGTACACATTTCTTTCCGAGTCCCGCCCAGAGACCTAAGGTTAGAAATAGCCTCATGACACTTTCCACTGAAAAAAAAAATACATAGATAATGCCCTTCGTAAAGAGTGGGCTGTACTTGTGAGAACAATTTTTTGTATTACTTTGAGGCATGAGCTTCCAGGAATCCCTTCATTTAGTCTACTGGAATCTTTTCCAAGCAATCCGAGGGCTCCAACTACAACATGGGTTGTTGATGTTCCTAAGTGCCACATTTTTGAGATTTCTATTTCAAGGCGCTTGTATTTTGACAGCTTTTTGAAGATCTTCAAAGATACATTGCAGTCTGCAGGGACTGCCATGTCAATAAGGAGGCACTTTTTTGTTTGTGGTCTTTAATAACAGTGTCTGGGTGGTTGGCTTTGATTGTTCTGTCAGTGTGTACTGTGTAGTCCCATAGAATTGTAACAGGTCCTATCTCCGTAACCGGGTCTGGGTGGTCTTCATACCAGTTTCTTTCAGTTTCCTTCCAGTGCAGATATTGGCCCACTGTCATGCCGGGTTTTATATTCAGTGGGTGCCAATATCGTGCAACGGGATGCAAGATAACCAATTGTTTCTGGATATTTATCACAGAATCTGCATTTGGGGCTAACACAATATTTTAGTATATGTGTTTGATAATTTCTAGTTAACAAGCATTGGTCCTGTGCAGCAAGGATAAAACCTTCAGTTTCAGCTTTCAGCCCTCCATTACGTAGCCACTGATGGGTACGGGTTTTGTCTACGTCAGCTTGTTTGGTAGGGGCAGAGTATTGGCCATGAAGCGGTTTATCTTGCCATCGCTTCTGTATCTGGTCGGTTGCATTTGTCTTTGCTTTCTTTTTTAAGTATTTTGCAGCTTCAGCCGATGTATTATGCTTTATTTGTATTTCTGCACCCATTTGAAACTCCATTTTGAACTTGTTTTATTATTTTTATTATTATTATTTTCAGTTAAGAGAAAAGCGCGATTTAAGAGTAGAAAAAAAACAAACACACAATATCTGACAATGGTAAACAATATTCGAACAGAATGTCTGTCTCTTTCAAGTTCAAAAGCGTTCAGAAATATCTAGATAATCAGCTGTATACTGCCACATTCTAATTCCAATGGTTGAAAATGGCTTTGAGCGAGTGACGCCGGCGGGTCTTGTCGAAGACCCTAGTCCTTCGACCATTGTAAAATGGCGCCACAGACTTACAAACAAAGAACTGTACCAAATAACTGAAATCACAAATCTAAAATGGTTATCACGCGTAACTCGAATAATGTCGGGGTTGTTAAGATTCCAGACTAATTCGAATAAAAAGGTTAGGAATTAACCGCCACAACCCCATCTATACTGGAAAGAGCGATAACATCTAATGAAACTGAGAAACCTATTTTCCTGAAATATATATTTTTCAGAGAAAGATTTGATAAATTTCAAACTACAGCAGTAATGGCTGATCGGATGTATGCAGAGCGTTTCATTATAAGAAACGGCTATAACCATTACGATATTTTTCTCTCTGTCTTTTTCTTTCTCTTTCTTTTTCTCTCCCTCTCTCGACATATATATATATATATATATATATATATATATGAAGAAAGATACTCTTAAGGTGTGCTATATTTATGGGATAAAGTGCTCAATATCAGAGATAGAGCGTGTGAAAATATAAAAGTGAACATAGAAGTCAACACTTCGACAGACTGCGACAGAGTGTTTCATGCTAGACGCATTATATATATATATATATATATATATATATATATATATATATTAATTTATATATATATATATATATATATACACGCACGCACGCACACACACACACACACACACACACACACATATATATATATATATATATATATATATATATATATATATTGATTTTCTAAGTGTGGTTTAGATGTGGTAAAAGGCCGAACGTATTGGTATCCCAGTAAGGATACAACTCATAACTAAGTCGTAATTGTTCTAGCGAGACAAGTTCGCTAACCATTACACCAGGTCAAAGGCTCTCTCTCTCTCTCTCTCTCTCTATATATATATATATATATATATATATATATATATATATATATATATATATATATATATATATACACGTTTCATGGAATACGACAGACAAGCTGCTTTGATTTAGTTTTTTATACAATTTGTTATGTGATCTTATAATTGTTTTTTCTTTTTGGAGGATAGATTATGTCAAAAATAGTGGAAGCCTTCTTAATAAAAACAAAAAAGAAAACTCAATAATATCAACTATGAACATGGACACAATATCTTGATCGTGTTTTGAAAAAACGAAACATTATATAAATACATACATACAAAAATCTATTTCTTGTTAAAAGTTAATATACTTCAATCTTGAAAATGGCTAAATGTATAGCCGAATGCGCTCGAAAAGAAAGGACAATTGGCTAGTTTTTACATAATTTATCCTCCGAAAAGAAAAACAAAAATTAGTTCACACGAGAAATTGTATAAAGAAAACTAAATCAAAGCACCTTGGTGTCGTATTCAGTGAAAAGGGTATGAAAGAAGGATCACAGCCTAAATACACACACACACACACACACATATATATATATATATATATATATATATGAAGAAGGAGAGATGTGATGCGGCTATCATCAATCCTCTCTTGTTTATATGTGTTTATACGCATGTAAATGTGCTCATAGGTGAGCATATGTGTTCAAGTGTATGTCTATGT